GAAGGCTTTTGATCTTTCCATCCGTATGAATTTTATTTAAAAAATAAAATAAATACGTAATAATTAATATATATATATATATATATATTAATTATTACGTATGTATATATATATATGAAGTTGGTTGATCTTCTCATGAGAGAATGATTATTTATGGGATCAATGTTTTGGGATAATCAATATTTATTAACTAATTTTGGGGAGAAATATTTTGAAGGGAAAAATGGTCATTAAGCCAAATGTGAAATAAAGGGCTTTACTGGTATTTCACCAGTGTGGTCATTGTTGGGCCACGCTGAGTTTGGCCGAATAGCAGCTCTCGGTTAAGGTAATCAAGAAGCTAAACCAGAGGCATTCATTTATTCAGTGGTGAAAATAAGGCACATTAATTGCAATGTGAAAAAACAAAACATAAAAAGGAGTATACAGTAGTTGCTGGTGTTTGCTACACATCATTAAAGCTTTAGCATCAAAAAGGCAAAAATTCTTGGATTTATTTGCCAGTTCAGATTGTACAAACTTACCACCTTTTCTTTTTCATATAACAGCAGCAGATGCCTTTTCTCTCATCAAACCATGTCCAAAGAATAGCTGCCAAAAGCTTCAATTTTTCAGTTCAAACAGAAAGGCCTTTTAGGAATGCAGACAGCAATAAATCTTTGGCAATCATCACAATTTTACAGGTTTATGTACTCAATCTAGTGGGCCTCTTGACCTGAAAAAGACAGGACATTCATGTAGACTTGTAAATCATTATGAGTTGCATATGATCCAATAAGCCATCTTAAAGGCATCTAACTATGGTTAGCAAGTGGCACCCAAGTTGTGGTCTATTGGTCAATAAAGCGGGTAAGAATCATGAGGCCTCAGATTCAAATCCCAGCGGAGGCAAAAACACTAGGTGATTTCTTCGCTCTATCCAAGCCTTGATGGATAGAGTTACCTGATACGCTGTTGCTACTTGCTAGTGGAAGGATGGCAGGTCCGTGGAATTAGCCATATGTTGTTGCTAGTGGGAGATGGCAGCTCCGCACAATTAATCTAAGTGCGCGCAAATTGGCTCGGACACCACGATTATCCAAAAAAAAAAATGGTTAGAAAGTGATCTAATCAAGATGCCAAAATCTTCCAAAAGTGCATAGCAATTTTGATTTGTTTGGAAGCTTCAAATGTCAACAAATATCCAAAACTTTAATGGAAAAGTGAACAGGAAGAGGACCCACGAGAGTAGTTTTTTTAACCCAAAGTGGTGTTCAGACGGTTTACACATATCTCAATTATTCCGGCGGGTACCTACGATCACCCACCAGCACGGGTATTACGTAACTTTACTAACAAGACTTAGGTAGATGGACATAAATCACACACTTCATCGACCGCTAGGCCACACCTTTTGGTACAGTAGGATTTGTAACCTTCATTGTATTCAATATTCGCGCTTTAAACAATATATTACAGGAGTGATATTACAAATTACTTACCAAAAGGAGCCACTTAACTCAAAAGAATTCCCCGCTCTTTTCTTTTATTTTGACAAGTCAAGTTTACACTCTATACAAAGTCTTTTGTATCTTTCACAGTAATATTTTTCCAAGCCTATAACAGGATTAGGGTGAAAGCATTTGAGGTTATGGATCAACATCTGTCTTGACAACCCAAAGATAGAGTAAAAGAAAGGTATTCCACGATCAAACAAGACATAATCTAGGACTACCTAAGAACTTTTCTGTTTCTTTTTAAATTTTTGATGACCGAGAAATCCCCGAGGGCAAGTGGCACACGGTTTGAAACTCGGTGGATAATAGGTCTACCCCTCTACCCTTCATCACGCTTTTTGCCTGAGGTAGGGTTCGAATGCATGATGTGTGCCTAATCCACACATCAAGCGTTATGCTCTTACCACTACAGTAAAGCCCCGGGGGCCTACGCTTTCACTTCAAAGAACATTCCAGCAGGAATTTCACAAATACGGGGCAAATAACCATATCAACAATTTGGAAACTTTTTTATCTTTCTTTCCTTTTGCTTTATCAGTAAAACACAATTGGGGAAAGATTTTACCTTCAAGTGGCTAATATTTAACCAGTACCAAGGCTCAAACTAAGCCCAACATTCTTGGATTTATTTGGCAGTTCTGACTGAAAAAAAATGTTTCCACCTTTATCATATACAGCAGCAGAGGCCTTTTTTTTCAGCAATGCATATCCAAGGAATAGCTGCCAAAAGCTTGCATTTCCTGTTAAACAAGAATGCCTTTAAGGAAACAGGCAGCAAAACATTACAATTCACAAGATATGCACTGATTGTAGGACCTTTTGACTTGAAATAATAAAAGACATTCATCTAGCTTTTAGATAGGGTAGCCCGGTGCTCTAAGCTCCCGCTATCCCCGGGATCCGGGGAAGGGCCACAAGGGTCTATTGTACGCAGTCTTACCCTGCATTTCTGCAAGAGGTTGTTTCCACCGCTCGAACCCGTGACCTTTTGGTCACATAACAACAACTTTACCAGTTACGCCAATGCTCCTCTTCCTCTAGCTTTTAGACAAAGATTTACAAATCATCATAAGTTTATTTCATCCAAGAAGTCATTCTTATAAGGCATCTAATCATGATCAACAAATGATTCAGGTCAATTCTTCAAACTGCAAAGCAATTTTGATTGTCAGAAAGTTTTGACAATAAATATCCAAATTCCACATGGAAGAAAGGAACAGGATCTCCGAAAAGTAGTTAGCAGTTCGTAACCTCCACCTTGTTCACGATGTGCATTCGAAGCTATATACTACAGGATTGATTTGTTTTTATTACTAGTAAAAATAGCCACTTAAAGAGATGCCTTCTCAACTCTGTTCTTCTATCTAGACTAGTCATGTTTACACTTTTACACAAATTTTGTATATTTTTCATAGCAATATTTCTCCAAGCCAGTGAAAACATTTCAGGGGAAAATAAAAGGACGAAAATCTGTTTTTACAGTGGTGGAGATGTCACCTTTCACTATGTTTATGCTTTTTACATCATATAATCAGGCATCACCACAAATTTGTGCAAAGATGTCTAACAACAATCTGAATCGAGCTAACCCATGAACAAATCATATAAAGTTCACTTAAATACCACCTGTCAAGCGTGGCGATCAGCAAATTTTAATGTAAACATTAAGAACAGAAATTGCATTACCATTTTGTCAACAGAAAACACATACTGCTACATTATATTGCTGGCTATATAACTTGAAATGAAATGAAGTTGGAAATAATCCATGTAACACCAAACGGAAATGATTCAATTTTTGTAAGACTAGAAATGATTATTAAGTTAAATAAAAAAACTTGCCTGGTGTCGAGAGTTCCCCGGCCCTGGAATACAGCATGTGCAGGCAAAGATTTGGCAATGCAGTCCAGATCTCTTTTCACATGTGCACAGTGCAATGCAAATACAAGGCAAAATGAAGAATACAAGATCAATCTTAGAACAGATAGCTACCACCTCCCAGAAAGACATGATAAAAATTTTGCAGAAATATTTTTTCTGTCCTGCGTATCCTCAGTTCCAAACAAGTTGCGTCAGCTATATGAATTCTCACTTACCACATTTTTTTATTCAAAAGGAGTTTCCATTGATCATTGGTGTGCAAAAGATACAATTTGAGTTTGGCATCCCAAACTCTGTATCTCACTGACCACAATACTTTATTTAAACTCATCTCATGCCAATATTATGCACATACAAATAGAAAGGTATTATTTTCTAAACACAAAAAATCTCTTAATGGCTAAACCACTACTAGAAAGCATACACCCTACAGTAAAAATGCTAACGTTTAAAAATACCCTCAACAAATATGTATATGCATAGATCTTTTTCTTCCATTGTGCTGTCCTATCTTTTGCTAAGTTTGCATGGATCCCCGAAATTTGTAGATCTTTTGAGACAACTTCCTTTCATGTAATTTTAGGTCTATTTCGTCCTCTTTTAATATCATCACTCACCAGACTAAAAAATAAAATTGATCAACAGATGGTGAGACCCAAAATTAAGCGCAGACACGCTCACGAATACATACAATTACTATAGAGATAGTACAGAAGAACCCTTTCTAAAATAAATTAGTGACTCCTCATAATTAACAGGCCATGATGGTTAATCTTTACAATTTCCAGGGAACAAAGATGCCGCAGCAATATTACTTATTCAACAGGGAAAGATGATAGCTGCCATATGCAGGACTTGATGAAAAGGCAGCAGATTCACAAACTACTTCAATGATCATTTAAAAGGGGCAGCCTGGTGCACTGAGCTCCCGCTATGCGCGGGCCCGGGCAAGGGTCAGATCACAAGGATCTATTGTACGCATCCTTACCCTACATTTCTGCAAGAGGCTGTTTCCACAGCTCGAACCCGTGACCTCCTGGTCATGTGGCAGCAACTTTACCGGTCATGTTATGGCTCCCCTTCTTCAATGAGCGATTAGATTATGGAAATAACATAACGAGGCTTTGGATCTGTTTTTCTTGTCCCATAAGAATAGATTCTCATATATATGATTAGTAACCCACCAACCTACTGTATTGACATTTTCGGATCCTGTCATATTTCCCGTCACTCACAATGATGCTTATATAAAGTTTGTTTTCAACACAAAGAGAATAAATAAGTAAAATTCACATGACAGTAACAGTGGGCAATTTAGTTCAAAGCATGATAGCCCAAGCCAACATAATGGTGGATACACAAACCACAGTATTACACCTAACCTGAGATCTTGCACTTCATTTACATAGTCAGCAAACCAAGCAAATGTTTGAAGCTTATAGGGACAGTTAGTTTTAAAACATACCACATCTGAGAATATTGTAATTGAGCCATTCATCCCAGGTCTTGCTGTCAAAGTTCACTTGCTGCTCTTTTTGTTAGTTCTAAATTCCTTTTTTACACATTATCTTTATGTGCTATTTCAGCTATGCAAAATATCAGATTCAAGCAAAAACTGGAAGATAAAAATGCAAAGGAGGGATCCTAAACTTTTCTTTTCTCAAAATTTTATGATACAACAAAATGGAGCCTGTCTACAGACTACAAACCTGGCCTTTTCATTTGACCAGAAAAACGGTTCAAAGTTTGCTCATCTTGCCACAAAAATTGTCCGAGTTCCATATTGGTATGGAAGGGCATCTTACGTTTACTAAGTAGTGTTTCAGCATTCTGACCTTCACCCTCTAAATTTACCGGACCTGTTTGCAACACCGACGGACTATTGGCAGACTCCGCAACAAAGAAAGGGAACTCTTTGTCTTTACTAGTAGAAACAACCTCGAACTCGTCTCTTTGCTGAAAACTGTCACTCGGCCTAACAGGCATCTTAGGCTTCCTAAATAGTTTTTCTGCATTGTGACCATAAACCTCCAAATTTTCATGAGCTCTGTGCAACCCTGATGGACCAGTAGCAGACTCCGTGGGAAAGAAAGTGAACTCTTTCCCTTTACTGGTAGACATAAGCTTGAACCGATCTCTTTCATGAGAATTGTCGCTTGGCCTAATGTCACCAAAGCAACCAGTTTGAATCTTTTCCAGCTGCAAACGAGAGTTTGCGGAGCGACCCAGCCTTAAGGACAAATCGCAATCCAATTCAGGCACCCTCCTAGTGTTGTCCCCATAATTTGCTTGACATAATTTTTCTTGAATATCATCTCTCCCATAGGGAAACAATCTCGGGAAGCAGCTGATTTCAGCAGGCTCCGCCATGGATTGGTATATAGGTTTGCCAACAATTACATTACGTTGAGGTTTTTGGAAGACCATAGGAGAAACTTCAGGCTGAACATCAGTACCATAGTACAGCGGATATACTGAACCCACATCAGCTGAACTGTTACTTTCCGGAATAATAACGTTTTTTGCACTTGAGGAAGCACCAAGATTGTCGATGCTAGGCATTACAGGCCTGTCAAAATCTGAAGCTAATCTGGGTGAATTGACATTTGAAGGTCTCAAAAATGTGGGTTGGTTCGCAGGGCGAAATGGTAACGATGAGTTAGTGTTTTGCTCATTGGTACTTCTACTGAAAACTTTAGGAGGTACACATTGAGGTTCTTGATTTCTTGGGCTGAGGTAACTCCTCGGATTAGTGTTCCGCTGGCTCCTAGACGCTCTCTCCGCAGTACACCCCAAATTAAGAGCAGCTGAGCACCAAAGTTTCATGTTAAACAAGGCAACATAATCACTCTGAAAACTATATACAAAATGGCATGGTTCTTGTTGAGGAATTGAGCTAAAAACAAATGGAGCAGTAAAAATGAATAGCAAGGCAAAATAAAGTAGTGAACTTTTTGGTACCTTCAACACAAGGAGGCAAGAACTGTCCAGTCTCTGCAGTCTCATCTCTCCTAATTATAGTATCAATGGCCTCATTTAACCGGTCCCAAAGTGTTTCAGGATCCATATATTCAGCCTAATATAGATGACAAAAAAGCATACAATCAAAATTCAAGAAACCTAAGTTAAACCCTTTCAAGAAAATGAAATCCAAAAGAAGAGGAAAAAACCTCAGAATTAGCTTTGGAGTACATAATTTCCTCAGCTTTGAAAACCACAATAGGGAGCTTCTGTTGCCATTCTCTGTTTTTTTTAGTAACAACACCATGCCTTTCTTGTACAACCCTGATCAAACAGATGGTGAGCAACATCAACACTTTAAGATAAATGAAAATTCAAGAAATCACACCTCCAAAATTTTCAAGTACCTGAAAATTTGTTGTATAATAGAACCTCTAATGGGTTGGTGTCTATCACTATGCCAAGCTCTTCTTACACACTCATAAGGTCTGGGTCCTGGCCTAGGCATCTTTTTTCAGCTATAGCACTGTGAAACTAACAAAATGCAAGAAAGATGATAACTTGACAGAAAAAAGAAGCAATTTTTCTACATGGGTATTTGGCCCAAGAAGTTCTTTAACTTTTAGGTATTTGGTTTTAGGCTCAAAAACTTCCCCTAACTCCCCCACCCCCTTTCAAGATTTCTACACTTTTTTTGGGGGAGAAAAGGGGGGAGAGATGCTTGTCCTTGTATTTTCCTTTTTTTTATTGGGGGGTTTGAGTGCAATAATATAGTGGGGTTCCTATTAGCAGTTGAAGCATACAAATAATAGCTTGAATATTTCATGTTTAAACTCTCACTATAACACTTTATCAAGCGTTTGGACATAAAATTATGATTTTTGAAAAAACAATTAGTATTTAGAATTATGTTAAAAAGTAGCATTTGAAATTCGAATTATTTTTGGATATACATTTAATTTGAAAATCTGTTACAGTTTTGCGAATTGAGAAAAAAAATTTCCTGAAAATTTCAAAAATTTGAATATTCTTTTAATGATAACCCTTAATTTGAAAAGTTTTTTGATTTTTAAAAAACTTATTTTCAAAAATTCCAAAAACTTGCAAAATTTCATGGACAAACATATTTTTGAAAATATTTTTTGAAAAAAAAATTATAGACAAACGGAGCCTTAATTTATCCATTTCAAACTTAGATAAGTTCGTGCATTCTATATTTATAATCGTGTTATAAGTTATAACAAAGATTATTTCAAAAATCAATTTAAGATATGTGCCATTTGAATCAGACATCATTATCATTTTAACTTAACAACGAGTAATATAAATAGCGCTTGTCTTTGTATTTTCATTTATTTTTTTGGTTGGGTTTGGATGCAATAATAAAGTGGGTTTCTTAAGTACCATAGTAGTTGAGGCATTAAGTAATAACATGAACATTTCATGTTTAAAATTTAACTATACCCTTAATTTATCCATTTCAAACTTTGATAAACAGATTTATTTGATATTTATAGTTGTGTTATAAGTTATAACAATAGATTATTTGAAGACTTGTTTTAGATGCGCGCTAATTGAGTCAAACGCCACTATTATTTAATGTAAAGTAATGTAAATAACGCTTGTCTTTATATTTTTCTCTTTTTGTTTGGGTTGGATGCAATAATATATCCTAAGGGGTCGTTTGGTATAAGGTATAAGAAGGTATAGGGGTGGTATAAAAAATTAATACCACCTTAATACTCTGTTTGGTTAGCAAACCAGGTATAAGTCATCCCGGTGTTAATTTTAACACCGGGATAACTTAAACCTTATAGAAGGTGGGGTAATTAGCACCGGTATAACTTATACCTTATTCTTAGAAATTATACAATTATCATTCTTAATACAACATACCAAACAGTGAATAAACAACAATTCCAACATAATTAATCTCAGAATAACTTATCTCAACATAACTTATACCGGCATAAGCTCTATTCTAACCAAACACCCCTAAGTCTCTTAGTAGTAGCTAAGGCATACAAGTAATAACAATGAACATTTCATGTTTAAACTTTCACTATAACAATTGATATTATTTTTTTCAACTTTGATAAATAGGTTAACCTAATATTTATTTATAAGGTATAATTGAGATTATTTAAAAAAAAATATTTTAAATGCGTGTAAGTTGAGTCGTCACTATTATTTAACGAAAAGTAATATAAATGGCTTATTAGCCCATATAGAGAATGATATGTAATAACGTGTCCCCTCAAAATTGCACAAAGGAGCCCCCACAAAGCTCTCCCAAAATGCAAAAACCCCCACCCTCACAACTGTCTGTACAAAATAGCTCATCTTTGGCTGCAATTTTGGGACCACAAAATAAGAAATAGCTTAATGGGATTTTGCCCATTTTCTTTAAGTTTTTTTTATCTTAACTCCGTACATGTATTGGAGCCTGATAAAATTCAAATTCACATCGGAAAGTCCTATAAATCACGAAAGAAGAACTAACTTAATGGGATTTTGCCCCTGTTATAGGTTTTTTTATCTGGCGTTCGCGGGGGCGAAGCTACACTTTGGTCGGTAGTCAATTGCCCCCCCTTTATCGAAAAATTACATTGCGTATCTAGGTAAAATATTAGATTTTAGAGTTACATAACATATATTGAACACTCTTTGTCGGATTTTTTTTTACTTATTTCAAGTTTGAACATCCTTAAGAAAATTCATGGCTTCGCCACTAAGTGTTCGGTACTCGCATTGGATCTAACAAAATTCGAATTTACGTCAGAAAGTCCTATATTAGTGGGTATAACGCTCTTTAGTAAAAACGACTTTATACTTATGACTCAAACACGAAATTTCTAATTAAGAATTAGCAAGTACTTTTCACTTCACCATAAACTTATGTTGGTGCTTGGTGGGGTTTGCCCAACTTTCCTACTCCTCATGTTGTTGCTCTTTTTTGTGGGGTTTTAAAAATATATATATTAGCTATCAAAGAGTTTAACAGACTCAAATTGGGTAGACAAATTATTTAAGGACTAGGTTGTCGTGTTCTTATATCTTTTGCAAGGATGGGGTTTCTTGGTTTTGCCAAATATCTTTTTTTTTTCTTTTTTTTTTCTTTGTTAAACATTTCTTTTAGGGCCATCCCTGTCTTTGAAAAAGTGACATAGGTGTTTATTTTCACGAATTTATGTAACAAGTGAATTTTCTTTCATATCAAAGTAAACCCTATTTCCAGGGACGTACGCGAGATTTTTCATAAGTGGTGTCGATATTTAAAGAAGTAGACAAAGAAACAAATATAATAACGACATCATTTTTTTTTTTAAAAGTACCTTACTATAACTCTCATCGATGAGGTTTCATATTTTGGAAGATATTCATAACAACCTCATTAGGAGTAAGACTAAATACATTCTTTTCTATGTAAGGCACCAAACAGCTACTGAAAAACTCATCATCCATTCGACTCTACAAATCCGTCTTTATTAACTTCATTGCCAAAAAAACTCTAAAAAGCTTTTGAAAAAACAGAAATCATATTGCTCAAAAATGAAGCTGTGAACCGTTGACCACTGCCTTAAATTTCAGGGAATTTACCAATAAACTAACTATCTTACTTTGACTAAGTTATGTCATTTTATTTTACTTATACGCCTTTTTTCTTTTGCATATTACATATATATATAATTAAAAAAATCGGCGAAGCGGTGACGAATGACACCAAATCAGTCCCTGCACATTCCCCATATAAACGTTATTCGGTGTAAACATAAGTGGAGACGAATTTAGAAATTTAAATCAGTGATACGTAGAGTGACAGTACACTATTATACTTTTGTGACAATAGGTGTGAATTTAGTATAAGTATATATTTTGCTTTAAATTTCCAATTGTATGCAGCTTGAGCTATAGTACGTTCACTGCATATGTGAATCTTTTACATTAGAATTCACAAACATAGGTGTTTTAAATGTACAACAATCAATACAAGAAAAACGGCAAGGGAAGAGGG